GCTCTTAACAATACCCCTCCATTCTATGATTTATCTTTGGAGAGAGCTAGCGAAAATGGAAGCATGATTAACAGATTCTTCTAAAAATATTTGAACTTGCAATCAAAAAGCTTACCCAGCTCATGACCCAACTGAAACTGCGCTCTACCATTGCCGAATTATCGACATTCCCTGCATGCATGCAGAAAACCTTATTTTAGAAAATGCCATGCACTATAAAATCTTCGCACCGTCCCTTCTTCACCATCAGCCTGGCCGTACAAACAGAGCAAAGTCTCTGTTTGCATCATCGCTATCCTTCTCTTCCATCCATATTTTTCTTCTTCTTTTTACCTGTAGAAATCAAGAATTGGCGCAAGCCAGGTATTGACACAAAAAACCAGAAAAAAATGTTTCGAAAAGTAGTTGTTTCTGCTATTTCCCTCTTTCTTATTGTTGGTGTTGTCATTGGGGTGGTGGCTCTAGTGCAAACCAATCAGAAGGGATCCGATGGAAAAGACGGAAACATATCTGCATCAATGAAGATCGCTAATCAGCTATGTCAACCGTCAGATTACAAGGAGGCGTGCACCAAGACCCTCAGCTCTGTGAACAGCACCGATCCTAAGGAATTTGTCAAGCATGCTATACTAGCTGCCTCAGATGCTGTGAAGAAATCATTCAACTTCTCCGAGGAATTGATCGTCAAGGCCAGTCAAGATAAGCGCGAGAAAATGGCCTTGGACGATTGCAAGGAATTGTTGGACTATGCCGTTCAAGAACTCCAGGCATCAATGTCAATGGTGGGAGATAGTGATTTGCACACCACAAATAACCGAGTTGCAGAGTTACAAAGTTGGTTGAGTGCTGTCCTTGCATATCAAGAAACATGCGTGGACGGGTTCGATGATAAGAGCCCCATCAAGCCTACCATTCAACAAGGTTTCGTAAATGCTAGCCAGCTCACAGATAACGTTCTGGCTATCATCTCTGGCTTGTCAGACTACCTCAAATCCATGGGCCTCCAGTTTAACATTCCTTCCAACTCTCGTCGCCTTCTTGCCGAGGATGGATTTCCCACCTGGTTCTCTGGTGCTGATCGTAAGCTTCTGGCTGCACAAGGCAATGGTAAGGTTAAACCAAACGCGGTTGTGGCTCAGGATGGTAGTGGACAATTCAAGACCATCAGTGCAGCCATTGCTGCATATCCCAATAAACTCAAGGGACGATATATTATCTATGTTAAGGCTGGAACTTATCGCGAGTATGTTACTATTGACAAGAAGAAACCCAATGTGTTCATCTATGGTGATGGACCCAGGAAGACCATCGTCACCGGAAGCAAGAGCTTTGCCAAGGATGGTTTAGGCACATGGAAGACGGCTACTTTTGGTAACAATTAAGCTTCTTTTTTTGCCATTAATCTTAAACATATATAATTATGCATGATGGGTTCACGATTAATAATTAGCTTAATCTTGGTTTGGGTGGTGAAAGAAGTATACTGATCCCTTTTCTTGATTTTCTATTTTTTTTTTATTAAATTCCTCTCAATGCACCATATCGATTTAGAGATATGACGGCCCTTGAAATTGCGTGAAACAATAAGAAATTACCAGCTGGGAAAATTCGAAGAAATGAATTGCGAGACTTGTTTTAAATAAGCTTTTCTTTACCTTGATTAATTTCTGCTTGTGCAGTGGCTGAAGCTGATGGGTTCATTGCCAAGTCGATAGGATTCCAAAACACTGCTGGTCCTGACGGGCCCCAGGCTGTGGCACTTCGTGTAAGCCCTGATATGTCAGCGTTCCTCAACTGCCGGATGGACGGGTATCAAGACACGTTGTTGTACCAGGCCAAGCGTCAATTCTACCGCAACTGTGTTATTTCTGGCACAGTTGATTTCATCTTCGGTTATGGCGCTGCTGTGATCCAAAACTCCTTGATTGTCGTCCGAAGACCTAATGACAATCAGCAGAACTCGGTGACTGCAGACGGCAGGAAAGAGAATCATGCCACCACCGGTTTGGTCATCCACAACTGCAGGATTGTCCCTGAGCAGAAGCTAGTTGCTGATAGGTTCAAGATCCCAACATACCTCGGCAGGCCATGGAAGCCATTCTCCAGGACGGTTGTCATGGAATCAGAACTGGCAGATTTTATTCAGCCTGCGGGGTGGATGCCATGGGCCGGAAGCTTACATCTTGACACTTTGTACTATGCAGAGTATGCCAACAGAGGCGCTGGTGCAAATACCAACAAGAGGGTGAACTGGAAAACTTTCCATGTCATTAACAGGAACGAGGCTCTTCGATTCACCGCTGGCCAATTCCTTCAGGGCGCTGCTTGGATTAAAAATGCTGGAGTGCCTGTCTTGCTTGGCCTAAAACGATGAGGAGATTGTGTTTCAGCAGAAGGCTTGCGATGAGAGGTATATAGGGCGTGATCAAAATGCAACATATACCCAGTTAGATTTTGAGATTGTACAGTGAAAAATTGATTCATTTCGATTGATACATAATATATGTACTAATCGTGATTGCATTGCTCTCCTTCAAAGACCTCCTGATCCATTTGGGTGGTTAGTGCTTGGAGTGGCACCCTGTTTAATCTCTAGACTAACGCTGTGTAAACAGAGTTTTTATATGAAATTGTCATGCAAACACACAAACATGTGATAATCACTTGATTTTTTAATAAAAAGTCGATTATTTCAATTTAAAATTAATAAGAGCCATACTTTACCGCTTGCAAATTGATATATGTATATAATGTTGTCATGCTTGCTTTTGGTACTCCGGATAAACAAATCTTGATCTAACCTATATTTGCCCAATAGGTACAATCCGCTCATAGTAAAACTTTGTATGGTTCGATGTACATTTATTTTTAACTAATAGTCCAGCTTTTAATGCAGATCGAAGCATATAATTGTCTGACTGGTTACATGCTATAAATAAAAATAGTAATTCATTATTTTTAACAATAGAATCTTGAGATTTCTTGGTTTATCATGCTATTATCTTATATTTATATACAGCTACATTAATCTTAATAAAAAATACTTTAAAGACACACATGCTTCTAAATTAATGTCAAATAAAAAAAATTTTAGTTATAGTTTTCCTCACGATAATCCAAAACAAGACGATACTTGTGATATTTCGGTTGGGGATGCATTTTATATGTGTGTATATATATATTAAAAATTATTTTTATATTAACAAATAAATCTAAAAATATATATAAAAATAATTTTAAATAAAAAAATAAAATTTATTCAATCTCCATTAAAATACAATATCAAATGGCGCTTAGCGTAAAAAATTGTATGAAAATCAGTTTTTAGAATGCAGGTAAATCATTTTCCTAATCTCTATTGCATTTTTTTTTTAAAAAAACTAAACAGATTGAGTTTTTACCGAAAAAAAAAAAAACTAAACAGATTGAGTTTTTACCGTGCTAAATTGCAATGTGCACACACTAACGAATTATTGTGAATTTCAATAGTGATTTTTCTTTTATTTTAGTTATTAAATTTTTTTATCAATTGAATTATTTTATAACTAAATTGATGATTAATTGCTTCTGGCTTGTTGAAAAATAATAATATTTAGAATTGGAGCATTGAAATGAAAAACATAAAAAAACCATGTGGAATTCTCAAATTTGGCATGAAATGCTAAGTTTGATGCTTTTATTTTCTAATTGATAATAATTAAAGTTCTTTTGGTTTTGAACCATTTTAAAACTTCATTTTATTTAAATTTTAGTTTCTTGATCTAAGAGACAAGAGAAAGAGTCGGTATATTTTAACTAAAAAAATTAATCATTAATATTTATTTTTAGCAACAAAAATTATCAATCTTAAAATTAAAATTCTTTTGATTTTCAACCATTTTAAAACTTCATTTTATTTAATTTTTAGTCTCTTGATCTAAGAGACAAGTGAAAGAGTTCGTTATATTCCAACTAAAAAAAATAATCATTAATATTAATTTTTAGCAACAAAAATTATCAATCTTAATATTTATGAATTTTATTCAATGAAAAAAGTTTTATCAAAATATTATTTGGCTTCACCTTATCATTAAATATGAATTGAGAAATTTTTTGAATTTAAGTTAATTTTAATTTTTTTATTAAAAATTTTATTCAATGAAAAAAGTTTTATTAAAATATTATTTGGCTTCACCTTATCAGTAAATATGAATTGAGAAATTTTTTAAATTTAAGTTAATTTTAATTTTTTTATTAATTTTAAGTTGTTTGAGGTGATGAATAAATATTTTATATAGTATATCATTTAAATATTTTTAAATAATAAATGGATTGAAAAATAATTTTTTAGTTATAAAACATCATTGGCTGATTTTTGAGTGATCAAAGAATCACCAAAATCTATATCAATAGACAGCGCGTTATTTTTTCTTTGACATGCATGTGCGCGTGTAAGGACTGATGTATATGCCAAATCTCAAAGAAATGCTCAGCTTACAAGGTAATTTTAATATGATCCTTATTCTTTTTTTTTTCAATCAAGCCCCTTACATGTTAATTCCCAACCACGTCCTTTTTTTTTTTTAATTTGCATCCTCAAAACATACTATATTTTTCATTTTTATTTAACTTGGTAAAATGTTGGTTGAATGACTTATTAATTTAAATCCTAACTCGAACTAAGTTTTATTTTAAATTATTTTGGATATTGATTTCGTGAAATCTAAGTAACTTGAAAAGTTAACTTGATGAATTATATAATAAAACTTATGAAGATAACTTTTTCAAGAAAAGTTAACTTGATCAATCATATAATAAAACTTATGAAGATAACTTTTTTTTTTAAATTTTTATTTAAAATATTTTAGAATTGAACTAGGTTGAACTTAAATGACACGGTAACTTGGGTTCTAGGCCGGGTCAGAGAACGGGCGGGTCATATACACATGTTGGTTTCATGAATTTACATCTACCCTCTTACTCGGTGGAGTAGTTCACTCGAGTCCATTTCTTTCTTTATGTTTTCAAAAATTTAAAACTGGCTAAACTCCCGCCCTTGAAAACGAACACATCAAAACACAATATCTCGCTCACCCTCTCTCTCGCTCACAGCAATGGCGGCGTCTGCGGAGGAATCTTCTGCTCTAATCTCCAAACTCGAATCTCCATCCATTTCCACACCAATCTATTCTCAGTTCTCGAACTACCTTCTCCCATTCACCGATCTCTCCAAAAAGCCACTAAATAAAAACCAAACCCTAACCCTAACCCGATCTCTTGCCAAGCAGTTCCTTCCATTCGTAAACCGCTGCCTTTCCATTCTACCCAAACGCCTCTCCGATCTCCTCAACTCACCCTCCTTCAAGCAAGACGATGGCGGAATCCCCGAACTTGTCACCGAATTGTTCGATGCTTACCGGCTCTGTTTGGATTGCTTGGAATCGGTGGCTTCGCAGCTGGCCGGTAAGCCCTACGCGGTGTATAGGCAGAGGTTGAGGCTGGCATGTTGCTTGGATGCTTGGGGATTGTACAGGGAGGGTGAGAATGAAGGGTTTCGGGTTCTGGAGAGGCTTAGGGGTTTGGATTCGGGACCGAAGTCGAAAAATAATAGGAAGAAGAAATTAGGGGAGTATTTGCCTGTTTTGCTTGAGGATGGGGATTTGGATTTTGCGAAGATGGTTGTGGAGGTTGCGATGGCTATTTTGAAGTGCGTGGCGTTAGGGCAGAGTAAGAATGATGAGGATTATAAAAGGGTTATTGGAATGGTACATGAGGTTAAACCCTGGTTCAGGTGTGTTTGAGTTTTTAATTTTCTTAAAGCTTAATTAATGTTGATTGAATTTAACTTATTGTAGATGCTGGTTGAATTAGTGGATGTGAAATTCACATTTTGTTTGAAGGAAAATGTGGCTGATATTTATTGGGTCCGTATTGCTGACTAGTATATATCTAAATGAATGTTTTAGCGTGTTAGATGCCAATTCACATGAGAAGTTACATAGGATGCTCGTGACCTACCTGCGGAAGTGCACCCAGTTTCTCGCAGGGGAGCTAATGATTTTTGATGGAGGTACCGTGTGCGCTTTCTGTACAGAAACTTTAAATGAGTATTCAGAGTCGTCTATGAAGGATCAAATTTACAAGGTAATCTAGTAATCTATGGTTGATGTATGGCCACACGGATTGCTGGGAGATTTTTGTGTCTCTCTAATTGGTTTCTGGTTTGCAGTTTGCTCGTCATATCTGCTCTGTTTTCTTCCTTCAAGTTGATAGATATTCAGTCAAATTTGACATACTGATGTGTGTTTTGGACTCACTTGCCCAAAAATGCAAGGTAATTTGAACACGTATATCATTTACATTACCTAATTGATCACTGGCATTTTGTTTGTTAACTGTTAAGGCGCATGCTACCTTCGAACACTTTTCCAGAACTGTTTCCTATTTAATTTTTATTGTAGCAGAAAGTCCATGAAATTGGCAAATGCCTTGATTTACTCTACTTAGAGAGTTGCATTTTATTAGAGGTGCAAATTGATTCATTATCTGGTCCTAGTTATTGTCTGCCTTTTGTTCTTTTCAGTTGGAGTTTGCAGTTTTTATGCCAGGATAGAAATGCTCTCTTGCTACTTGTTTTGTTCATTTCATATGAAAGATATGTTGGGTGGCCTGTTCTGTAGGTTATCTATTTAGAACTTTGTCGCAAGATAAATTTAATATTTGTTTTTGTCAAGGATAAGCAGTCATGATATTACCAATCATTGAATATATGGAATATGAACTTTGAGCTAGGCTATATTTGACTTTACTTGCTCTTCTCCTTGGTGAATGACGAGTATGATTTGCTATGTATTTCTAATTACTTTTCTTGAAAATAAATCCACAAGATATATTTCTTTTCTGTGTATCTTTGAGTAAATTTGAAATTACTATCCAAATCTGGAATCCTGATAGTTCTTGAAGTTAAAATGTACATCATAATGAACAATACCTTTTCATTTTATGATTTGGAAGTTAGTTTGCAAGTGGATTATTTAGGATATTACTAAGGGTGAAAAGGAGATGTGCTGAGCTGAATACAACGCTGATCAACCTTGGATAAAAAATTTAACTGCTAAACATGTATTGTTTTGCCTTAAGCTATTCTTTTAGCTAAACGCTCCAGCTCAGCTTGTCAAACATTTATGGAGCTCGGCTGCTTAGTTCAGGCAGGAGCTTTAGATCGGATTCCAGTTCATTAGTAGTCCTACTAACTTTGAATTGAATAGCATATTTAAATCTGCAAATGTAGAAGGAGACTTGTACTTTTTTTGAGTGGCATGTAGTGACATACACAAAAGTGAATATATTCCATCAAGTATCTTAACTCATGATTTTGTGACCTTGCCTTTTAAAAAAGAACACAGGACCTTTACCAGAAAATTAGTTTGTGAAAAAAAAAACAATAAGAAATAAAAAAAGGAATTATTAGTAATGAAGATTGACAAAATTGACATTTATCCATTAAAATCTAATTAATCAAGTAAACCTTGCTAAGTCTAAATTAAATGCAACATCTATCAATGTTTCAAGATTCTAATTTAGAAAAACATATTTATCGCACCAAAAAATTCCCTCCTCACCTTCCATTCAATCTGCGTGGAGGAATTTCTTGCTTCATTTTGTTAGCTATACCCCTCAATAAATCCGAGAGGAGAGATTTAGTCTTTAAAGAAAACATTTTCCTTTTCCTTAAAAAAACATATTCTTTTAAGAAATAACAAACCATTTTGTTAACTGCATGAAAGCAGTGGCAAGTGATAAACTTAACTTACAATCTTGGGGAGGAGGAAGTGGAAGTGTTGGATCTGCTAAAGAAGAATAAAACACAAAAGTGGAATTTTAATGTATCAAGGAAAAGAATTGGACTACCACAAGTAATCAGTGAACAACGAATCTCTAGTGGTTTGAATGTGCTTGTTTATCTGCTGTAGAATATGAAGTCAATGCTGGATATACATCAGGATTAAGGGAACTTTGTTCCATTGCACTGAACACATGCTTCATCAATGGTTAAAGATGATGGAGGGATTGGCTTTTAGCTTTATACATGCCATGATGAATATGACAAAAAAAATTCAATTACCTTTATGCTCATGAACAAAGTGAGTTGATCTACATATAGCTTTCTGATCGGCTCATTTTTTGAATGAGCTTAAAAGTTGCTCAAGATTGGCTAGGACCAAGCCACAAACAGAGTCGAGTTTGAGTTTAACTCAAACTACTCAGTTCATGTTACACTCCTAGATTTTACTTAATTTATGTATCTAAGCTCTGTCTGGAGTGAAGATATTATTTTGAACCTTTTTTTTTTGGCAGGTTGAAGTGGAAATTTGGGGAACAGAATTAGTTGAACTTGTCGCTTATTGTGCAAGTAAATGTCATGCTGCAACCACAATTTCTTGTAATACTTTTGCAGAATTCCTAAATGACTTAGCTGGTGTTTTCTGTCAGGTATTTGATTTAGTTATAGGCTTCCATCTATTGTACTTTATGCAGCAGTCACATCATTATGTGGATGTACTTGTATATGCTTTGAAATTTAACTTGCATGGCAGGTTATGACACCATTGGAAATGATAATCAGACTTTATGCCATTGGATTGTCCTTCATTGATCATAATGCTAAGTCCATGATTGGTGATGTTATGCCATCCAAAGGTGCAAAAGATGAGCATGCAGTTGGTATTCTTGAAGGAGTTACACTTCGCAATTTAGCACCCGTACTTGGTTCCTTACGGAGCTACTTTTATGATAATTGCAAAGAGAACTGTGTGTCATGTGGGATTGACTACCAAGATCTTGCTTCTGATATACATTTAGATTTTCACCATGGAACCTCAATAAATTGCACACAAAAAAGTAGAGAGGTTTATCTACTGGCTTACTTAAATGTGCTGAAGTTCCTCTGTAAGCCGCTTTCTGAACGCGTGATCTCTCAGAACAAGCAGATAATTTTCGAAAGCGATGTTGCTTCTCTTTCTATGATGCTGTGCAGTATCCAAGAAGCATTTCATCAGTTCAGTGACATTGTTTTATATTTTCACAGGTAATTATGTATAATTTTCTGCATCTTCTTTTCTATAAATAACAAGAGTAATATTTGCATCCTCTAGCAAGTGAGTTCATCTTTTCCATTTCATTTAGAATCTCACAAAGGGTATTGTGTTTGATTAAATATATATTTTTTTCTTTTTCTAGGAGTAACATTACTTGTTGCTTGTGTCTGTCAATATTCAGTCTGAAACCAGGAGGATAGTGCCTGTTGGAGAACCCTATCTTGAGTGAAGTAGAAAAAACAGTTGGAGGTGTATTAGAATTGTTTTATCTCTATAAGATGCACAACTAGCCAATTAAACTTATTTTAGGATTAATTTTTACCAAGGGATATTATGTTTTTTCATTCCATTTCCTTTCTTGTTTATACCACTTAGGTTTTTGTGCTACACGAGTGTTGATTTATTTAGCGAGTTTTAATCAGTTCCTATACTTCTAGTTGCATTTATTGTATCCATCATATATAACAAAATGTGCATCAGGACCTTCTTTTAGTGATATCTTTTAAACTTAATAGATGAGGAGCCAGCATGTTGCTACACATGACTCCCCATTTTCAAATTTTAACATTTCTAGTGCATAATATATGCTGTCTCCCCATGTTTGTTAAAGAAAGGCCTTATTGGAGATCCTGTTAGTTGTCTCAAGGATATACTAGATGCAATTAGAAGTTAAATTCTAGATTTGAGGCTAGCTTGAAAGTATAACTGGTAGATCAAAGTTGGGTCCTCTGTAATTAATTTCTTTGTTTTTCCCCTTTTCTTTTCTTCTCCTTCCCCTCCTGTCCTCCTTTCCTCTATATCATTTGGTCCTATACTATTTAAACCTATCCATGGATGGAACTTTGACTGACATCTTTAGCTACCAATATTATCTAGCATTCTCTGAATAATTCTAATACATGGGTGCAGAAACAAATCTAAGAGGGAGGCAGCTGGTTTTGATGAGAACAAGATGATTCTCACTGTATCTGTTGCTACTTTCATTCTATCCAGCAGAACAAAACACAAGTTGCAGGTTCTCTCTTTCTTGTAAAATTAAAAAATCCAAAGTGATTGCCATTCACTTAATAATGAACTACTGATCCTATATAATTGAAGGACAATATGTTGCTTTTCAAAGTTTGATTTTGCTGATGGGTTTTCCCTTTCTTATTACAGAAGAGTGTTCATCTCATTAAGCAGATCATTGCTAGCGAATGGATCCAACCTCAGGGGTTGAAATATATATCTGCTTCCCTATACAGTGTTGGCTTACTTTTGTATAGAAATAAACAAGTGAATGAGGTAATTTCTTATGGATGTGATTTCTAACTTGGAAAACATATTGGCATTAACTTGATATCGTATCTGGCTAATAAACTAAAAAAATTTAAATTATAAAAAGCCAATTCCGCTTTCATTTCCTTTTGTTTGCATGATGTTATTGGTCTTTTTGCAAGAATGCTTAAATAATGGTGCCAAATTTGAATTTCATTGAAAATCCAGTGGTTAAGAAGTGCATTGAGGATGCAGTCATTTCATCATATTTGCTTTAATGCTATGCTACCACTTGTTTATAGTGCTTCTTTTAGAGTTCAAAAGACATTTGTGAAGGTAATACATAAATGTACCTTATAAAGGTACATGCTGCTGTTTGAAAGTGTGCCCTGTGTTTTGCTGACACATTTTTGGTGTAAAGAAAGCGGTTGAGGTTACTGGTGTCACTTGACCTCTTAGGGACCTTGAAATGGTACCATGCATCTTGAATTGGTTACGTTTTGCATTCTGAGATTACAGCCATGCATGGCTGGATTGCCAAAATTGACAAGCCAATTTATAATTTAGGTTTTGTGCGTGGTGAAAGGTGTGAGATAAAGAAACAAAGGGAGAAGAAACATGCTTTTGTCAAATGGCTTAGAAACACTTTCCTTAATTAATGTGAAAAACATGCCGTGCTTCTTTTGGAATTTACCTCCTAATGTTTGACCAAAATAATTTTAAGGGGCACTCCTAATCGATAAGACTGCCCCGTACATGCCACAACTAATCTAAATGGCTTTCCCTGTGGCTTACAAGTTCCATGAACCAGTAGATACTGTGTTCCAGGCATATACTGTGTTCCAGGCAACTGTGATATACCCAAGGTAACAATTACGGTGGGAGTGGTATAAGGAGAAGAGATGTGGACTGTTATCTGATGGATTAAATCATTAAAGGAGTGTTTTGAGTTTAGACATATGATCATCTGGATACATGGAAAGCAGGTCATGGAGTAAACTTCATATATGCATAGATGTGCACGTTGATTACTATTCCTTTGGTATCACCTGGAGAAGATGTTCTTGTATGCTTAATTCTCTTGCATCAAGAACCCTGTTTTATTACCTTTTTTTAAAGCCTTCTTTTATTGATCATTCATCTTTGCAGGCTTTGAAGCCATTGGAATTATGTTGCAGAGCATCATGGAAATGTGTCAAACTTCTATCTGAGATGTCAATGCAAAAGTCTGAAGGGTTTGCTGGTGATCTTTCAGAAGATGCTATTCTGGATTTTGTCACAGAGGCATGTAACCAAACAGTTTTTCTTTTGGATGTTCTCCATAAATCTGGCAGTCTTAGGGTGAAAAAGATCATTGTAAACAGTCTTGAAAATTGGTCTATTGCTGAAGATTTGTTCAGAAGGCTGTCAGGTCCTGTACCTTTGGTGAAACAATGGGTGAAGGTAGCATCTGCAAGATTCCAATTGTCTTCAGTATGTTTTTTCCTTTTTTTTTTTGGCTGTCTAAATGTAGTTTAATTTCCAGATGCAATGTGAGAATAATAAGAACATGATCGTGGATTATGATGCTCCAACCTTGTACTGTATGCTATCATCGTCTATGAGAGTGTCAAAGAGGACAATTGGTAAAATTTTACAGCAGGTCTGAGCATTTTTCATGTTTCCCTTTTGACAGATGTTATCAGTCCATTCCTTTTGCATTTTTTTATTGTGGATTAAGTCTTTTTTACTTCTCACCATTGGCTTTTCTCTTCCTTTTCTGTCCCTAACATTTTCAGGAGCTTCTTGCTTATGAAGAAATGTATGCTGTGCATCCTGAATTTTGTCAAAGAATGCAAATGGAAGTCATAGATATCCTTTTGAAAGATGTATATGTCACAGATAGTCATTTGCAGAAATCAAGAGTTTTGATCAGAAAAGGACGGGCACTGAGGTCCTGTGGTTCTGAAGGTTTGGAGGACTGTATACAATGCTTGTCAGAAGCAATCTCTGTCATTGTGAGTTTTTTGGCCTCAATGCATGTTTCTTGCTCTTACCTTCTCTTTGGTTTTTGATTTTTTGATAAACTTCTTACTTCTTTTTCATGATTAAAGGTTCAGTAGATGCTCTTTGCTCTGTACAATGATTTACTTACATACTCGCTTGAACAGAATGATGAATCATGTAGCCATGGAACTCCTGCCTGCCATCATTTAGCCGTGACATATTGCCTACGTGCGCTATGTACCCAGGAAGTGGAACCAAACTCAAAGGTGTTAATCATAAAAGGCTAGTTCCCTGATTTCACTACTTAAGGCTTTAATCATGCATATACACAATTGCTAATGAAGCTTTCTATTATTACTAAATGTTTGCTTGGTTTTCCTTACTATCAGCAAGTCTTTCAAGATATCAAAGCTGCCTTGGATCTTTGGTTAAGCATTCCAATCCCAGATTATGGCATTGCGTACGATGAGGGTATCATGTCGCCTGACAGTGCACTTTTGTTTCTGTATAATATAGTTGACTTGTTAGCAATGAAGGTATTTTTATGATCCTGTCGTGTTCTTTTATCATTCTTTACTTTCCAGCTCATAGCATCATTGCTTTATCTGTTCTTTGTATTCAGGGTTCTATGGAATTTCACAATGACATATATAAGTTGATGATTAGATTGTTTGAATGGAAGAATGTCCAACTGGAGATGTGCTTATCCATTTTGTGGGAGAGTAGAAGGCTTACCCATGCTCTTTGTGTTTCACCTGTAAATGATGCTTTGATAATGACCTCACCAGGTTTTTCTGGAGAACAATTTAGGTCTATTGATTCCTGGATTCATTGTCTAAAGGGGTCCCCACCTTTATTAGTTGGGTTCCAACAAAACTTTTCATATCTATTTACAAACTTTCATTGCGACCCTGACAATCACAAACCTTACAAGTCTGATATCACTGTTGATGATGTTAAAGAAGCTGCCTTTAAACTCATTTCAAGTGTAAGATTTCCCCTAGAACCTAAGTTGCCTCTTTCATTAATTTCATAATCTGTCGTGACACAAAACTGTTAATAGTTTTCTATTATTCTTCTAATAGGTTCCTGCCACAAGCTATTCTTTTTTCATTGCTGGACATCTTTACTATGATTTGTGTGAAAGACTTATTGCAAATGGGCGTTTGTTTGAGGTAAGGGAGCAGTCTCTGGAAATCTTGTTTCTTGATTTACTGAGACCTTGATTTCACTTTTTTGATTCTATTCTGTGCAAAACAGCACACCTAATTTGGATGACTTTGTATTGAATAACTACATACCAGGATGGCCTACTATTTCTGATTTCACTTTGTCCTAGTATAGGATCTCAATTAAATTGTTTTGTGGGAATTCATGATATCTTCGTGAAACAAGAAAATATCTCTTGTTTTAGACCAGTCAAAATTGTAGGTGAAAAATTAGTGTAGACTGTTAATTGGAGTGTGCAAAATAGTAAGTCATATCTGGATTAAGTATGGGAGAAGTATGCTTGGAATGCAAAATGTATATGCAACCATAACATTACCATAGTTTTATGTAGACATCAGCAACATTGACAAAGAAGGGCATCAGGGGTGTAAGTGAAGCATGTTAGATATTGCAATTGCAAAGGTGATTCAGTAAGTGCTTTGAGTGGGTCTTACAAAAGAATGATGATCATCATTCAGGATGGAATTGTAACTCTTCACCAATACATAGTTTGATTCATATGTTGCATGATGAAAGTGGGTTATTGAATAATTCTTGAATCTGTCTGCCCAAAACTTAGTCTGGCTATAAGCTAAAAATGGCAGATTTTGTTGTTTGTAAATTTCAAAACAACACTGAAATGGAATTGTGCCCTTGAAGCACTTGTTCAGCATATTAGACCAACTTTATGTGAATCCTGAAGCACTTCTGGATATTGCTTTTTTTGGATATAGCTGCTATCACAATGCACATATAATTGTTTTGAATTTGAGCACTCATTAGATCTGCATGTGAGAGATGTAAAGCACCAAATTCAACCTCGTGGACACATGGGTTGTCAGGAATAGCAGTGATTGTTCCAATGTAATGTTTATAATCAAATTTTGGTCTTTTGAATATTACATGCTCCTATTAATTCATCTTAATTCTGTTTTTTCCATTGCAATTAAAGTGCTTTTGTTCTTATACCATCTTCCTTTTCTGGTGCCCTACACTTGTCCTATTCTTTCAGTTGCATTTTCCACCTTGTACCTTATTTATGCTATCATCTGTTTTGAGTCACTTGTTACTAAAGCAAATGTCCACCGTTTTGTGGCCTAAGTAAGTTTATTCAGCTTTTATAAAACATGTCTCAAAAGTAGCTTGTCATGTTTGTCTCAGTTTGGCTATTTTGTTTTGGTAATGTAAGGCATGTTAGCTGTTATCCACATACACTTGTGTTATTTCTAGCCTGAAATTGTTTCATTGTTATCTTTCTGTGAAATTTGACTGTTTATGTTGTAAATGATTATTAGAGAAAAATGGTCAGGCATCCAAATGGAATCATGATAGTAGTTAAGATAATTGGTAAGCATTTGCAAATAGCAACAGAGATTGACCATATTTTGATTTTTTAATATGAACAAATCAATAAACTATAGAGTTTCCTTAGCCTGCACGTATGTATGTCTAGAAAGTCCCACTTTTTTCTTCCATTTCTAGAAAATGGATGGGAATGGTTTGGGAGAAGTGTATCTATTAGGCTCTTCAAAGTTGAAAAGCCATCCTGTAATTCCAAAAACGAATCATATTCTGCTGTCCCACAAGGTTCACAGGCTTCTTCCTATAAGATGCTTAGAAGTTACTATTTTTCTCAATGATATCTCGATTTTGGTAAGTTATGATTTGCCCTCTTCTCTCTCCATCGTAACAAAACCACTCTTTATACTCTATCTGCAAGCCTGTGTTTCTTTTTGTTAAAGCTTTGCAAATAACTTTGTTTCAACTTATGCTCCAGTTCACTAGTTATGCTCTCGTATACTTTGTAAATATGGCATTGCTTCTTTTTCTGCTTGTTTCAAGAAAGTAATTTTGTGCACTACACCCTTATTTTGGTTCCATAATGGTTAATAGTTAATCTTGATGTTTTAATGCCTCATGCTGCTCATATGATTTTAATTTTGACTATTTTTATCTCATGTTTGAAGGCACTTTCATATGCTAAAGAAGCTCACCGGTTGCGTACTAAACTCTTTAAAGATAAATTTATGTATACTGTTGAGAAGCAATCAGAAAACTGCACTGGAGCTGGCAGTGATATGCAGAAGCATACATATGGTCTTTCTGATGTAAGAATGCAAAAATCAATTGCTTGTGAAGTTTGGTCATTCGATACCCTTCCACAGGACATGGATGCCTGTTATCTTAGCCCATGGAAAATACTTCAGTGTTACCTTGAAAGCACTCTCCAGGTCACCCCTTCTTTGACCATCACCTTTCTGACCTAGAAATTTAAGGCTGATTCTCTTCTTTGCATAGAGTTTATTGATTTTCTTTGGATTCCTTGCAGGTTGGAACTATCCATGAATTAATTGGAAATGGAATTGAGGCTGAAATTTTTTTACGGTGGGGTAAAGACATCTCCTGCTCCCAATGCTTGCCGCTATTTATAGTTGCCTTTTCCTCTGTTTTAGGTATGAACTAATTAAGATCATGCTACCTGTTTCCCTGTATTAATTTCTGTGTTACGTAATAAATTGTTTAGTTTATCCTCTTACTATATCTGTTAAAACATCAGGTAAACTGTACTGCAACAAGGGGTCTTGGGATCTGTCAGAAAAGGAACTTCAAAATGCCAAACACGTTTTGGTACATGGCTGTGCAGATTTTTCTTGTTTAAAGTGTGGATTGATGCTTGAAGCCACAATTGATCAACAACTTGGTGATTTATCCCATAGTCTCTTTAATACAACAAGGAGTATAGAGAGACTATCTCTTGCTGAAAGGTTGTACAGATCAGCCCTAGACAGACTAGGTCATCCTGAATGGAAAAACTCTGTTAGCTATTCCAAAGATGTGGAAGAAATTGAGGGAGCTTCTGTTTGTTTCCCTACTTGTCAGGTGGGGCCTAAATTGAAGATGGAAAGTCAAAAGTGTAGAAAGACTAAAAAGGCAACAAAATGTTTGCTAAAGGAGCAATCTTTTGTAACGGAGCACAATACTAGATCAACTCGTTCCAGATATCATTCTTTTCAGAATCAGAAAGTAGACAGTTCTGCTGAGGTACAAGTCGGCCCTTTAAATCAATTGAAAGGAAACAAAACATGCGATATAGTTGATCCTAATGGTCAGAGGCAGTGTATCTCTGGAAGAAAGAGTTGCATGGTTGATTTGGGGTGTGAAATCATTTGCATTTGCAATGGAAAGAAGTGTTGGTTTTGCCTTGCGAGGGAAGTTAAGGAATCTGGATTGTTGAGCAATTTCATATATCTGAAATGGGAGTTTGCTCGTAGGCGGCTATCAATAAGGCTACTATCTGGCATTGGTTAGTGGAAGCTGAGTATTATTTATTAGTTTGGTCATTGTTGCACGCACAAGAAATCATAAAATTATAAGCTATGATAATTCCTGGTGTCATCTCTGAATTATCAGTTTAAGGAAGTAGTCTAATTTTAGTGGATTATTTTGGTCCACTCAATGATCACTTAAAGAGTGATGCAGAAGAGTTGAGAATTGATCCTTCAACAGAAAAACAAGGACAAATTATTTGGGATATATGAGTGGATGGGCATTTGTTGTGGTACTGAGAGTATTAAAGCCTAATGATTAAATGACATATATTGACTCTTGCTTGCAGGTAACGCAAGAACGCATAAGGGATGTTCTGGTGCTCTATTTTAGGGTCTACGAACAGTGTTTAGAATAGGGATTTTGCGTAATTTAGTTATAATAGTTATATAGGATTGATGGGGTATGAAGGTTTGGATGTTTAGTAGTTCAATGTAGATGTTTGATGGTTAGAATATAGAAGTCTGTTTTCTAGAAATTGTAGAAAGATGTAGGGAAACACCACTTTTCCTTCATAGGTGGTTTTCTAATCCTACAAAGACTTGGACTCTTGAATAAGAAAATACTTTTCCTACCTAAACCTACTTAATTATGGACTTCTTGCCAATGAACTGTAGCTCATCAGTCACTAGTGTCCCTCCTGTCCCCCAAAAGGTCTTGAGCTCAAACCTCACTTTCGTAACCAAACATATTTTAGGACTTGGTTAAAACTAAGAGAAAAAAAAAACATAAAAAATACTTAGATCTAGATAATTTTGAGCAACTTTGAAATTAGAGAAATACCCTTGTATATGAATATTTCACACAACACTTCATGTGTTCTGATTATTTTATTGTACACAAACATATCAAATATCACACATGCTTCAATATTTTTATGGGTGAATCATGTATGGAGCTTTGTTTGTGAGTGCGCACTTACATTTTTAATGTCATTAGATTATTCTATGAAGTAATGTAGTGTAGTCATAGTGGTCAAGTAGATACAAGATTTCTTTAGAGGTTTTTATAGCAAGAAAAATGATACAAAAACTTCAACGTGGCATATTTGTCTAATATGAAATTATTTCACAAAGCATTTCCGGGAAAGGTTATGAAACTCTTTCATCATATTGTATATTTGTTCATCCATGCTGATAGTAGCACACATTATACATGTAAATACGCACAGTTTTTCCCAGCTAATATAAGGACTAACTATGACCTTGATATATATGGAACTTCATTCGTTCTTTCTTCACTCTTAATTTTTAGATCCATCCAATATTATCTATGGTGTTTAATTTCAGGAAAATGCCTGGAAATTCAAGGCAGATTTCATGAAGCACATGAAATTATTTCACAAAGCATCTCTGTCCTAGTCAGCCGAAACCTGTTTGCTCATGCTCGTGTTCCATTCACTTTCTTGCTTGATCTAGTTGGGAAAGAGTTGCCAGGGGATGTATTCAGTATAGAGCGTGCAGCAGTACTTTACGACATATCTTGGTGTTCTCTGAAGAGCTACTCCTCAAAGGATAATGGGTATTTGTTTTAATGGATACTTCCATTTTGCATCTCCATTTCTGCATGTATCTCAATGATTCAATGACTCCCAGGGGAAGAGATCTTTTTTTCATTAGCTTTTCATCTTGTTTTGTAATCTAGACTAAAATCCTAGCCTACTTAGTAATCAGTTTTATAGCTTGGTGTTTGTTATAAGTCGGCTTTTTAACTAATTGACTTACTTTTGTCTTGATATAATATGCTCCAGGACTATCTGCTGTGATCTATACCATGTTCAAGTACCAAAAATAGTGTCTTGGTTGATGCTAGCATTTGTACTCTGCCGGCAGGTTCCTGCAGTTCTTCAGAAGGTCAATCTGTTTTTTTTTTTTTCCCTTCACATTATTAACCATTTCTATTCACTATTCTCATTAATTTCGATTGGTTTTGTTGCTTTTTTTTTTCTTTTTTTTTATCCCTTGGTTTTAGTTCTGTCTTTATATGTGTGATGACTTGGTAAAGGTTTTTTTGGTTCTTTGCTGGGAAAAATGTTTGACTTGTTTAAGGTATAAGGCCTTCAGATATTGTGTTGTGGTCCTATATGTTGGACTTCCAGTTACTCTCCTACCTTTAATTGATTAGTTGGAGTTGGGCTAAGCCCTGTTTTTGTATTTGATGGCTCAACTCCTCACAGGAAGTTTCATGGGTTGTCTTTGTTTGTTTGGGATGATAATTTTGAACTGAACCATTCAAGATCAGTTTAAGAATTTCTGATGCTAACTGAAACAAAATTAATAGAAAGCTAAGCTAATTGAATAGAGCGAATATTGTTGGTACTGTTTAGTGAACTGTGGTTTGTGAAATCAAAAACTTCAGTCCAGGTGAGGTTAAATTTACTACTCAATTAGGATTGTTTATGCTTGAAGGCTGCTTTAAAATTTTAAATGCTCACAAAATGTTTGCGTGGTCCAATATGTAATGCCTCACCAAACCAAGCTTATTTTTAATTGAAATGTTCACAAAATGATTGTATTAGCATTGGGAACCACATGCAGACATTTTGGAACCCTTCTAGCCTATTTTTAATTTTTGTCAATTTAGTGTTCAGGATAAAAAAGAAGCTTTTTGACCTCAAAAAATCTTGATTCTTTGTTAGCATCTGTTAATACCTCAAAATACATTTTACGGGGGGTTTTGGTCTTGGTCTAAGGTTGACCCATTGACTAATAGTTAAATCAAAAGGAGGCTGACATATGGGGCAGCATTTGCCCAATAAATGATTGTTAAAGGACTTAGCTGACCAAGTTAGTTGTGCAAGCCTTATTTTTCAGCAATCCTGATTGTTCAAAAAGAAAAACTGCGAAAAACCTTTTATTATATGAGGACAGGATAATAGAATAAAATTACTTCATCAGCCACAACATAGGTGGTCCATAAACGTTAAGAATCAAATTTCAATATATATATTTCAATTAAAAAGACATTATATTATGCTCAACTCATAAAAGACTAAAAGCTATTTGATTTGAATGAAACTTATATAAATTAAAATTTAATTTGTAATGTTAGGGGCTCCTTATTTGGGATGACAGGCATATTTTTCATTCTAATGAGTTAGGGAGTTTGGTTTTTCTAGGCTTCTGAAAGTCATAAGGGAAATGGAACCAATTTTCTTGAGGTTTTGAAATGCCAAACAGAGCCATATAAAGTGATGACTACAAAATAGACCAAAGGGAACCAATGAGATTGTTTTCTTGTGTGGGATGAACACTCCTAATGCTAGTGCAGCTTCTGTTTTCATTCTGACTGAAGACAAGGAGACTTTCTAATGTAACAAAAGTTTCCCTGCTCCATTAAGCATGAATAAAACAACAATGCCCAACGATCTCTTTTCTGTAGGTATGATATTTATGAAAAAGTCTGGTCTTTTTTATTGGAAGTACGTGGACTGTTATCATAATAGGGGAATCCAAAACAACAGGACCTGTTATAAGCATTTGTTTTCCTTGTAATTGATTATTCTGAATATGGATAGTAGTGTGGATTTTCTAGACTAATTTTGCTGACATAAGTTTGCAGAGGTTACGGCAATATTTTACCATGAACTAAGTTTAATCAAATGCATGTTTAATTATATGATGTGACTCCATTGAGGTTTTTTTTTTTTTGTGTTATGGGTTATATATTCTTTGTTGGTGGAATGACTATCACGCATTCCAAGATGCTAATTTTGTAGATAAGTTTCCTATCATCTCATTTTCGGTCATGTATTGGAATGTTGCATGAGGAATTTTTGGGAATATGTGGATGCTTTTAGCTAAACAAATCCTTTCTTGGGGTTTGTACACCATGAATTTGGTTTAAGATGTGGGATTTCTTTTTGCAATCATGGTTTGCTTCCATGCTTGCAGTTGTGGTGTCATTGGGCCATCGATTGTGTTATGAATTGTTTTTGTTGTTGCAGCTGTAACTTGTAAAAAAATACAGATAACTTCTACACAAACCTAAAAATTTAAGACTGCAAAATTTTCACAGCATATATAACATTTATTACTCAAAGAAAGATAAAAATGATGTTTCTAGTGCAGTCGCTGTGATTGTCATGTAATGAAAGTTAGAGCTGCTATGCTATTGAAACGAACATCACCAAATCCCACTGGCTATAAAATCCCATTAAATATTTCTATTCAATCATTGGCCTCTTCTAGTGGACCTAAAAGGATCTCTGCAGTTGATATTCAGTAGTAGTATATTGAAGTTTTTCTAATTTCTACGGGGCACTAAGCTTACCGTGGTTGGTTTTATGCTCTTAGATGATAATGCACTTAATCTTATTGCAATCAAATCTGAACATTATCTTGGATTTGAAGGAGAGCATTCTTTTACACTAATAGATGAAAGCAATGCAGAGGTTATAGCAATCACTTTTGATCAGAATTCTGGTTTTTTAATGGACTTGGTATGTCTGATCATTATAATCCGAGTTTGTCTTTCCTTTTATCTTAATTTCACTTGTTGCTTGCAGCTCTGGCTTTACTTGTGTTTCCTTTTATGCCATCTTGAATTGTTGTTGACTTGCAATCATACTTCAACAGGTTTCCAGATTACTTTCAGCTATATTTGTACTTTCTTCTTCTAGCAAGACATTTTCGTTGTCAAATTATAGCAAAGTTATCTCAGAAAGTCATTGGGCTTCATTTTTTCATCAAGCTTCTCTTGGAAATAACCTTAACTTTCAGTTCCTCTCAAATACAACTCTGAAACATAAAGCTCGAAACTTTGCCGATGATCAGGTAGACCTGCATGCTTATGATTTCACTCTTCAGCTGGAATTGCTTTATTTGATGAGTAGCTTCTTGAAGAAGTTTAAGGTTTATGTTTTTGTTTACCTTACTTTTTCATGGTTTATGTGCCAATCAATTTGAGATGTCATTGGTCTCTCCATACTTTGGTTTAGAGAGTTCCAATAAAAACTATGAAACTTGTTTAAGTTTGTATGGAAACAATTCCTGTTTTGATTTCAGTCGTAATTTGTTGCAATCTACATCAATGATTTGCTTTGTTCAAACCATGAAAGAACTCAAACAATTAAGAATAAGAAGCAGCACATTCTCTGTGGTATGGTGTGTTTTCTCAATGCTGGCTCCATTTATGTTTCCATGTTTATTAGGAAGTAGATGATTAATTAAACCTCTTTTGTGTAATTCATATATCTTCACATATGCATGGAAATATCCTCTTTTAGATTTGCATATGAATATGCAAGCTCTTTGTTTGAGTCCAACTCTGTTCCTTTCATTTTTTTAATAGGGAAAAAAATTGGGAAGTGCCTTGTTCTGTTCGAGTCCAAGATTGCAGGGTGATGGAGTGTTAGGTTTTAATGTTGGTGATGGTTAAAACTAATCCTAATGATGGGCCTACTTTTCACCATGATGAGTGTTGTCTGTTTCAGTAAACTTGCATTAACATAAAAGTAATTCTAAAGATCTAAAGGTGCAACTCTAAACTGCTTAATTTTAATGGTCTGAGCTGTCTTGTTTTTTGAGAGCTTGGTTCTTTTCAGGAAATATATATATTCTGTAGTTTACCGGTTGATGGTGTCAAAATGCAGATCTAGAAATTAGGAACCTGTGCCTTTGGTCAAGTATCTCAACCTTCGTGTTGATTGTGCACATGATTGGCATATTAATAGCTCATGCTTTTTCACAATTTAATAATTCTTTCTTCAGGGTTCATGTGTGACTGCTTCAGCTTGGGAAGGAGCAGAAACATGCAACTTACCAAGGTTTCTGCTGTCTTTTGCATACTAAAGCTTTCCATGGTTCTAAGCACATTCTCAGATACCTTTTGTTCATGCTGCAGGCTTGCTCCTGAGTCTTTTCAAGATTTGGAACAGTTTGTGACAGAATTTTATTCAGGCCTTCCTTGCACAACAATCATTTGCATAAGTTTAATCGGAGGACCTTGTGCAAATTTATTAAAAGATCTACTGCAATATCCTTCATGTATTAGTGCGTGGATGTTGTTGTCACGCTTGAAGTTTAAGAGTCAGCCTATTATGATGCTTCTACCTGTAAATAAAGTTTTAGAAGGTACACTGATTAACACATGTATGGATAGCTGGAATTCATGATTTTCACACACAGTGCTGAATAATTTGCAACAATTTGTCAGAAACTTCAGATGATGATTGTGCTATGTCTTGCACTGGAGAGTTTCTTGCGAGCAACAACTTGGATAAACACTGGCATTGTCCCTGGGGTTCGACAGTGGTTGATGATGTGGCTCCAACATTTAGATTTATATTGGAGGAGAATTACTTATCTTCGTCAAAATTTCCCCTGGAAGACACAAAAGAGAATAGAAATTTATGGTGGATGAAGAGAAAAGAGCTTGATCATCGACTTGGCAAATTACTGAGGTAGTTTCTATTGCATTTTTAAATTGTTTGTCAGTTTCATGACTCAAACATAGTCAGATTAGGGATAACAGCATAAATAGTCCTAAAACTTTGTATACTTCTTGATCAAGTCTTAAAACTTTTTTGTTAGGTTTATCTATTCAAGCATTTTAGAATTTTATCAAATCCACATGGTCAGTTAAATATTCTAGAATTTTAAATTTTTTCTCTAATCTGCTAGTGGTTGCCTGTTAGAAAAGATGTTGAAGGCTCACATTGTAACTCATTATTATGTTGACGTGCTTAATTTAATGAGGAATTAATTTGCCTCCTTGTTGCCACAGAAAAAAGAGTAAAATAAGATGCGAAACTGCAAATTCAAGGACAATAATCTCAGCCTTGGTCTCTTACCAAAAACCAATTTCACCCTTCTAAACCTGAAAATTATAAAGGCCACTGAAAAAAAAAGACATAATTCCTGCAACCAGTAAGATTTCCATATCTTGATAGAACACAGACATTTAAATAAACCATCTTGAAATTCCAGAAATCAATCGCATAAATCTTCTGAAGTATTGACAAATGGAAAGAACAAGCTTACTTCAGGCTTGTGTGAGGCCATCTTGAAGCTTCAAAGTCTAACTGTTTTATCAGGAAACAGACTGTTTTTTGGTTGGGATTTTTGCTATTAGAGTGCTGCCATCTTCTAGTGATAGCACTAGTGATTTTTGGTGGGAGGTTGATTGTAAAATATTGTGCATTGACTAGTTCTCATTTGAATTATTTTATGAAAAACAAACACGCGAAAATCCATCATTCACTTTTCTATTAGGTGTATTTTTTGCAAAACAAATGCCCGTAGCTGAATATTCCTTGTCACAGTTGTATATCAAATTAATCTTCACTAATTTTCCATGTTGGGTTATGACTTGAGCATTTAGGAGCCATGTAATATGCTTTCAACAAAGTCCACTGCGGACTTACTTTGCCATAAGGTAAAATGTTTAGATGCTTTATTGACACCAATTTAGTTTTAGGACTCTAGTAGGAATCTTCAAAGTTTCTTGGATTTTTTTTCTGGTGTCTGATAGAATTTCCTGTTTGGCTCAATTAAGTTAGCTTTAGTATTAAGCTCTTATTAGTGGCTGTTGATGAACTCTGTTAGATAGGCCACCTATACATATGTACATCTATATAACAGCTTTGGAATTGTTTCTTAAAATTACTTGATATTTTATCTTGGTTCTAACTCAATATGATGCTTTTATGAACCAGGAAAATTGAAGGTTCATGGCTAGGCCCTTGGAGGTGTGTTCTTTTAGGAGATTGGTTCAACTGCTCACGCCTGGATTCTATAATGAAGAAGCTGGTGCATGATTTGAAATCCAAATGCAAAATCAATACAAATGAAAGCTTTCTTAAGGTTATTCTTCAAGGTGCAAGACATTCTTTCAATGGAGAAGCTTGTATTTCACAATTAACGTCTCTTAAAAAGGGTTGCTTCATTGTTCAAGCTGGATATTCAGAAGAGAAAAGGTGTGAGAAATTTTCTGAAGTGTCTGAAGGGGCCACGAAACTGTCTGACCTTGCTGTCCAATTGGTATATGATGCTGTGAATGAGCTTCAAGAAGAAGAGTCCACAATTAGAGAACCGGTAATTTTGGTGCTTGACTATGAGGTGCAGGTGGGTCTTTGTTGGGTTTTCCCTTCCCTTCCCCCATCATTATGAGATTGAACTTGACTATCGTGTCAATTTTTCCATCTTTATAACTGTGATGGTAATTTGCTATATGATTGTTGAGTTCTTTGTAAACTTAAATGCAAGCATGCAAACAGGAAGGGTTAGCTTTAAAAATGAATGACGGGGTGGATTGTTTCTTCTGTATATAATTGAGACTGGATACCTTATCCATTAGGTTTACCATTAGAAATTTGAAAGGTTCCTCTATGATATGTTCTGTGAAGTTATAACTAATCTGAAGTATAATAGATGATGGAAACAACTCTATTGAATGCCAGTCTAGATGAAAAATACATTTCATTATATTGTTATGTCATCCTGCTGATAAATCAGTACACAGTACACAATATTTTGCAAAAGAATACTGATAGTTCTCATCTTTTCTAAAAAAAATAATTGGAAAGAAAAGGTATTGTAGGTAAACTATTTGTAGTTTTGATTCGTGAACACCGCAAAGCTGTTTATCTCCTATTATTAAACAATGACTAATCAAGTTGACTTCAAAGCTGAACTGCAAACCTTATAGCTGGCTGACTTGTAACCCAGCCTTTAGGGCAATGGGTCTTCAGATATTTTCCTGTCATGCTTCATCAGTGGAACTGCCATCCAGGTTACTTTAAGTTAGATAGTATTTGATAGATAGTTGATTTGAGTGATAATTTGAATGTTCTGATATTGTTTATATATATCTCTTTATCTGCAGTCCTTATGTGGATACGAACTAAATCTATTTATACTGACAAGTGTCTCCTTTCAAACTTTGACTGCATCCCTTTGGAGTGGATTTGAGTAATTTGTATTTCTTTCTTGTGTGCTCTTTTGTTTCATTTATAACTTGTTAGACTGGTTGTTATATGCAGATGCTTCCATGGGAGAACATTCCGATACTAAGAAACCAGGAGGTTTATCGAATGCCATCTGTTGGCAGCATCTGTTTCACACTTGATAGAAGATGCCACCAACAGGAGCATGTTGAGAAGATCACTACTGCCTTCCCTTTGATAGATCCCTTGGATGCATTTTATTTGCTGAATCCTGGTGGTGATCTTAGCAGCACACAAGTGGAGTTTGAGAACTGGTTTATAGATCAAAATTTGGAGGTAATTTCTTCTTGCCATGAATAGCAAATTGCATACTTGATAATATATGTGCAGAAGTCTCTGGTAATATTGGAAAAGCAAATTGGTAGAAATCTTTTTCACTCCTTTTTTTTCCCTGAATTCTTTCTCCAAATAATGTTCATTGAAATCCATTCAGGGGAAGGCTGGATCTGCACCCACTTCTGAAGAATTGTCCTCTGCCTTGAAAAATCATGACCTCTTTATATATTTTGGCCATGGAAGTGGTATGCATGTTAAATATATTCCATTGTGTTTTCTTTACGTTGTGCATGGATAAAAATAGTTACATTGCAATAATGTTGATTCTGTGACGATGTCTTGTGTAGGTGCACAGTACATTTCCCAGCAAGAGATTCAGAAACTGGAAAATTGTGCAGCTACTCTTCTAATGGGATGCAGTAGCGGTTCATTATCATTAAATGGGTGTTATGCCCCCCAAGGTACTGCGCTATCGTATCTACTTGCTGGTTCTCCTGCCATTGTAGCTAATCTTTGGGAAGTGACAGACAAAGACATAGATAGATTTGGCAAGGCTATGCTTGATGCTTGGTTAAAGGAAAGATCTAGTGTTTCCTTAGGATGCGATCAATGCAATTTAGTAGCTAGAGAATTCGAGGCAATGAACATAAAGGCTGGTAAAGGTAAGGCAAAGAAAAAGGTTCCAAAAACAAAATCTGCCGGAACATTTGATGGCGGTGTTGCATTAAATTCTTGCGACCATAGACCAAAGATTGGAGCATTCATGGGTCAGGCTCGTGAAGCTTGCACCCTCCCTTTCCTCATTGGAGCATCACCAGTATGTTACGGAATCCCCACGAGTATAGGGATAAAGAAAAGATATATAGCAGAGTGAGAAACTGGCTGGGGCTTTGATACGAAATTCAAATACCAAGTATCGACTCCTTGCTTGATTTTCAACTTGTGATAATAGAGTTCAATCGAAGTAAAATGCTTGTCCCCAGCCAAGATTTTAGGACACATAATTTATGGAGTCCTTGAAATGTTTCCCCCATTTTTTTATCCCTCTTTGGTAAATGTAAATCTGCCTGAGTTATTGGATCAATTCCTGATCCATGAGCAAGGCAATGCCTTTGGATAGTGTAGATAGATTAAGGGAAATTGCTCGGTTTTTTGGTATTTCTATCCGACTTTCATGATCATGCCTATGTGGTTGGTTGACCAGTCTAGCTGCCTTCCAGCTATCGTGTCATATCTGATTCCGCTTCAGAATTTATTTTAGTTTTATATTATTTAATATCATTTATGTTTTTATTTTGAAGTTTAATAATTTTATGAATACATTATATTTTGATAAATACAGGAGTATGAAATGTATTTTTGTAATTTTTTTAATTAAGGAATTTTTTGTTTTTTTTCCTGAAATTTTGAAGAAAAAACAGGTATATTTAATATCAAATTAGTATTTATAATGTGAATTTATAGCTCAAATATTAAATAAAATGGTTGGAAACATTAGAGAAACTCAAATAAATTTAAAATGGTTTTTGAATTATTTTGGAATTTTTAGAAATTATTTAATATCTATTAAGCAAGAGCACAAAAATAAAAAAATAAGCATTGTTAGAAAATTAATACAGTATGTTTGCTGAAGATGTGTTTAACTAAAAATTTAAATCTTAAAAAATGTCATAAGATTGTGTTTGGTAAACATGTTTTAAAAATAAAATATTGTATTTTTTTAGATAAAAATATTATGTTATCTTATTGAAAATGAACTTGATCCATCCATTTGGGTGAGATTCTTAGTCTGGACTTACAAACATCATCTAAAATTAGATAAAAAAGAATGAAGATTATAGAGGAAAAATATTTGAATTCATTTAAAAACACTAAGAATTCATGAAGAAATATAGAAATTAAGATTCAATATTAGACTATATTATGTGAAATTAAAAGCGTGAAACTTGTGTAATTAAAATTAAAATAATATTTTAGAATTCAATTATCACAACAAACAACCTGAAGTGCAAAATCGAAGGCATAAAACTTATATAATTAAAATTAAAGTAAGATGGCATGAAACTTATATAATTAAAATTAAAGTAAGATTTTAGAATTGGATTATCACAACAAACAATCTAAAGTCACAATTATTTAATTTTATATAAAATATAAATAAAAATTTAGATCAAATGTCATGATTTAAGTGTTTTTAAACCCTTAAGATCTTAGATTAATGTTTAGTGGACAACCATTGATAAAAAAAACATATAAAACATGGATATAGGATAATCTTTAACGGATGAAAAGGAAATCTAAAATCCAACAAAACCTAGAAATGCTAAACATGGACTTTATACTCAGAAAATATCTAAAATCTAGGAACAACAATTAAACTTTAAACACGCATAACATAACTTGTTTGAACCATCAAAAAAACAAAAAACAATAAATCAAGAGCAAAACAAAATGCAAAATCCATGCCTATAATAAGCTCAAAAATTTCATCTTCTTATTTATAAACATTGTTTCATTGATTAAACTTATTGTCATTGAATTCAAATATCATGCTTACAACTTCAACAAAACTAGCAAATTATCTTAAAACAAACCTAAACCATATAACAACATCAATACTTTACATATTATATTATAACATATCAAAACAAGACACATAACAACATCAATACTTTACACATTTTGCCATAATTTAAAAAATGATTAACTAAACATGCAAAACATGTAAAACAACATTATATATTATTATATACCATTCCATTATTATATTATAACATATCAAAACAAGACAATTAACAATACTTGAGCATGCATAAACATGTTTAAACATTTCAAAACAAAAATTATAGCTTTTGAACTAACAAAAGACTTCAAAGAATGCATAACAAACATTGTGAGAAAAAAAAAGACAAGAAAAGAGGGAGGAGGTTTGCTTATTGAGCTCTACTCCCTCATCAAAGTTTGAAGGTTTACTTTGTAAAGAGAATATTGATTCCTTCTCTGGATTCTTTGTTTCTTTCCTTTTGATTTTTTGCTTTTCCAATTGATCTAGATTCCCCTTTCTTTTTTTTTAAAACACAATCTTTATTACCTTTACTTCAATTCTATTCTAAGTATTTTATTGGTTTTTATGTATTTCTTCTTCCTTTTCTTTTCCTGTGATTTCCTTTTCTTTTATAGTTTGAAAATGACAGGAGGTTGTGAAACTTAAAGGTGGTTTTCTGAAACTAGATCATAAAAGATTATTTTCTTTGATTTGTTAACAGACAATTCTTCTCTCATCTTCTTCTGTATTTTCTTTGCCTAAATATCTAACAAACTTCGGAGCTTCTAAAAATTATTAGGAACTTCATAACTGAAACATGGCAAAAAATAAGACGATTAGGGATGCACCTTCCATGAATTAATTGTGGCACACAGAGGGTAATTGAAGCCAATCAAGATATAGATCCTATAAAGGAGGTGTTGTTCTTAAACCAGGATCAAGTCATGATTGATTTGGTGGTTTGTAGCTTTTATATCATCGATCCAAAGTTAAGTATACTACTGTCAAATTCTACTGAAATAGAAAAAGTTGCCTTGGGAAAAGAAGTTGAGAGCTTTCATGTAGTAGGTGAAGCAAAGATATCAAAACAAAGGGTGGCCTAAACCTGCAGAAGGGAATCTTCTTTGTCAAACGATGATGGTTGGAGTCTCTAAGGTGGTCGAAGATGTCACGTTCATTCGTTTGAAGGTGACAACTCGATTAGCTTTTTCGGATTAAAAAGACAATAAAACAAGGACATACTGATCAGCTTTTTCAGATTAAAAAGACAATAAAACAAGGACATACAATGTGTAACTTTGTTCCTTTATTAAAAATGAGTAACATATTATCTACTTAAACCTTAAAAATAAGGGTTTTTGAAAGTAGGATTTTAATAAATTTTAATTTGGTCATTATTGTGTCAATTTAAGCTTAAACATTCTTAATTAAGACAAAACTAATTAATTTTATACAATTAGGTGTATTTTTCAAAGTAGTCCTTGTTTTTTAATTTGTTCAATTTAGCCTCTAATTAAGCTTTAAACTTGGATTTACTTCAATTTAGTCTCCAGAAAAGTTCAGTACAACCCTAATATTGCACGTCTTTTATAAATTGATTGTTGGTCTTGAATTTCTTAAATTTGAAAATTAATTGACATTTAAAGTTTGATTTTCTTGTAATTTAATCCAATTAGGCTTCTAAAAATTAAATATGATCCTCTAAAATTTATTTTTTTCTCAATTAAGCCTAAATTAAGTTTTCGCTAATTAAGTCCTTAATAAAATTAAATTGACCCATTAAAAGTCTAATTAAATCCTCACATGTAATTACTTCTTTTAAGTTTGGCCTAAATTAATTTATAAACTTCATTAAACCTTTAATTAGACCTATAATTAAATCAAATTAGCCTATTAAAAATCTAATTAAGTCCTCAAACTTAATTTTTATACAACTTTATCCAATATTCAATTTATGTTAACCTTGAATTTGCGTTACCTTTCACATTTAGATCCTTCAATTATGCAATTAAGTTCCTAAAAATATCAAAGATCCAGTATGGTCCCTCATCTCTTATTTATGCACACACATCTCTCTTCAATTTATTCTCGTCAACAAAGTCGCTTTTCTTTCTACATTTTTTTAACCTTTTTTCTTTTTGTTTTAATTTATGTATAAAAGAAAAAAAATAATTTTAGAGGAATCCAAAAAATTGGACGGTGACAATAAAATGTAGTAAACTATTTACCTACCCGTGAGACTTGTATTTTGTTTATAATTAAAGAAAAAATCAGTATAACCAAGTAAAACTACGATTGCAATAAATATTTGAGAATTTGATCATAGCCATCGTTTTGACCTATAAAACATGAGAGAATGCAAGCTAATGTGCCTATAATTTCCAGGTAGGAAATCCAAGATTAAAGATGATGCTGCTTAAACCGTTTTCAATTATCATGCTATTCGGAGCGAAAAAAACAATTATGCCTTCAATTATTTTAAAGCTAGAAAAAGCTTACAATGACTCCTAAGCTTTCATATATTTTATAGTCTCTCTATTTAAGTATATAATAAATTTTGATTTGGTGCCTCCCTTGAAGTGAAATACGAAACATGCTACGAAAAATAGAAAATAAAGCTCTACTAATATTAAATTCACCTAAAATTCAAAAAAGAATTATCAAAAGAATATCACTACTTTTTTTTCTAAATATTTTTGGATTTTCTCTTCATCCTTAATATGTTTTACTTTTCACTTATATCCTCAGTAGTTAGATCTATGAATTCAATCTGTTATTTCCTTATATATATCTTCTTTTTTTCAATAAAATACACTTATAATAAATTGTTTAAACAATATCTCCAATGGATAGTTTTTTATTTTTGTTGGTTATTGGATTAAGCATAATCTACCTATGAAGAATGGATGTAGTTTAAGTATTTAAAAAAGTTACTAAAAAAAAATAATTGCTTTCTCTACTTAGATAAATAAGGACATAACCCACATCAGAAGTTAATTTTTTTCATTTAGTTAACAGAACAAATTTTCTCCTTTTCTTTTCTCCCATCTTGAATTCTTTATATTATTTTGACAAGATCTATAAAGACGTTCACACTTTAAAATATTATTTTGGTTATGATAATTGAAATGATATTGAAGTAATTGATTTAGAGACAAAAAAATAAATTCTTACAAGAAAGTTTCATTTCGATTCTACATTGATATTAGAGCTATATTTTTAATATTTTTTGTGCAATACATTTGCTACTATAGATATGTTAAAAGTAGATTATGTGTTGAAAGCATGCTTTATTGAGTTATATATTAAAAGTACTTTCTGCAAAATAAATGACAATTACTTGGATTTACAAAACTTTAATGAAGTACTTTCTGCAAAATAAATGACAATTATATAACTGCTATTTGTTAACAACAAATAACATTTGAGAGATAATGAGCATTTCTGATTGACTATATAACAGTATTCAATTATAAATGGAAATTGCCATTTCCATTTTCAATTAACTACATTCCCAATGGTTAATTGAAAACTATCATTTGATAGTTAAATAACGGTCATTTAGCTGTTAAGACACATGAGGACACATCTAGTTTGACAAATTTATAATTGTCATTTGGTAGTTGGAAAAAAAAAAACCATTTGAACACATCATAATTTTAGAGATGTGTAAAGTAACTTCCATG